ATATCCCACTCGATGTTTTTTGTGGTCATTCTGTCGCGGTAGGATGCCATGCGACATTATTTTCCGGACAACCTGATATTAGGCTATCCCAGAAGTAAACCCTTTCATGAATAATCTAACGTTTTTTTTTCTTAGCAGACTTGGGCACTTTTCGATAGAGCAAAGCAAGCTCTACAAAATGACTACCAAAGATTCGAATAAGTTCGTAATTCAGGTAAAGCTCAGAGCCAAAAACTATAAAATTTCATTATTCTAAAAATGGAATGCAGAAAGTTCCTGCGAACTTACATCTTTATCATCATAGAGACATACGGTAATATTCATGAATATATTCGCTTGATTTTTCCCGAGCTAAAGATCAAAAACAAAAATAGCCCAAAAATGCAGAAGTGTCAAATTAGTAAGGCTTGCAGTACAAAATCACACGTGATAGAGGAAGAATTTGCCACTTTTGGACTATCTATTCTTACCTCAAAGGCAGTGTCCAAGCAAAAAGTCGATTTTGAGATTTTGAGCTTAGCCCTATTCGCTATGCTGAATCCGAAAATGAACATTGGTGAGCACGAAAACGGCGAAAAAAGGCACTAACGGAGGAGGGAAATTGCAGGTGGGCGGGGCTGTTCACATAGTGGCGTCACTCTCCCAGCTTCAGGAGCGATCTTCTCGCTTACGCTAGTCGCCCTAACATCACCACCAGCCAACTGCGAAACGCATGACATAAAATCGGAACCGAGAAGATCGCTCCTAAAGCCTGGGAGAGTGACGTCACGGTGTGAACGGCCCCGCTCACCTGCGATTTTCTCCCTGCGTTAGGGCCTTTTTTGGCGTTTGCGCGCTCTCCATTGTGGTTTATCGGATTCAGCATGGCGAATAGGCCCGGGCAAGCACAAAATCACAAAGTCGACTTTTTGCTTGGACACCGCCTTTAACTTCCATACGCAAAACAATTTGGCAAATGCATTTATGAATCTACATAATACCTTCTGTATGACGACCAATTCATTCGCAAAAATTCAATTTTAATGTGAAGTTTTTTCCAGTCTGACTCCAGATTCCACCTAAATACGATGTAGGTGGACCGTAGAGCTTTTATAGAGCTTGCTTTGCTCTATCTAATAATGTCCTAAGGTCTGCTAAGAAAGTAAGAACTTGATTCAGAAAAGTTTTGTAGTGTTGGGACAGCTTGTGCAGATTTTGCTGAACTCACTCATTGACTTTATAAGTTTTTTTGGATCCTTTATATTCGTTTCGGTGTATTTCACTAATGCAACAAATGAGGACTTTTTTCATAGCCCACACAAATGTCCCCTAAATTGCAAATCCGCAATACCTTACAACTGGTCAAAACTGTTTTTATTTTGGAAAATAGGCTGTCACAAACTTCTTCAGTTGAAGTTTTAGCAACGTTTTAGCAGACGCAGTAAAGATTTGAGGACAGGCACAGTAAGACCACATCCATTTTGACGTCCGTGGTGCTCATAAATTGTACTCTCATTGCGCTCAAAACGAATATGTATGTTGCCCCAGGATGAAGGATAGAACGTTTCCGTACGTACGCATAGTAATTGGAATTAACCAGCCCCACGCAAGTATAGCCAACCTTTCGGGCTTTTTAGTGTTTTTTTGTGCAGTGGGCCAAGTGGTCATTACCACGGCTCGGCATGAGGTGGCTAGTTGAAAATGCAAAAAACGAAGTCTCCCTTGACTTTTGTGAATTTTTACGAAGTCCCCTTTGACCCTAGACCATAATGTCTAAAAGATCTCCAAACGAAACGTTCAAAAAAAACGCCACAAATTCTGTGTTTTTTCGGCTACAAAAACGCTAATTCCCTTTGCTTTTGTCTCAAAAACATATCCAGCTTGCTTACGAAGCCCTGGTGCCGAACCCTGGTCATTACCGCTAAACTGGCCAGTTGATTGGTTCTGGATGAGGCCTATACTATTGTCAAGGCGACCTACTGTTTTTTTTATCATGGTGATTTGATGCAAAAGAAAGATCGCGCGATTTCTCGCCGTATTTCGTCGTATTTCTGTCGATAGCAGAATCGAAATTTTCAAAAGTATCAGGAGAAGACCTGTTCAAGTTCAAGGATGCGCTGCTTCAGGTATAAACTATACAAACCCACTTCTTCGCTTGCAGTATGTGTATAGGCCATTCGGAAAATCGTGACGATGGTGCGACCGCGCGCGACACGCATGCACTTCCAGCAACAGCATTTCCTCAGTTTCTATCTCTACTGGAAAGATTTTCCTGAGATATGGTAGTATTTAGATACTGGAAGTGAGTGAGCTGAGCGTTGAGGTGATGCCACTTTGTATGGGTGCTTTATGCTCCTGTGGGCGCAAAGACCGCAATTGAACCGTCGTCACGATTTCAAGAAAAGCCTATACTCCACCGGCAGCTTCATGACAAAAATTAGGAACGAGAAATTTGCTTTAAGAAATGAATTGAAGAATTTAGTGTCTTTGCAGCGTCACAGTAGGATGAAGTGTGAAGGTCTTATATCGTAAACTCGAGCAGGAATTCTAAATTTTAGAATCACACCTATCAGAAAATTTTTGCTTCGAGCCGGTATTGAAGTCAAATCATTAAAGCGGATTTGTAAGAAAAACTACACCCATCTATACCCATTTGAGAGCATTGCAGAAATTCCACAGGTAATGTCAATCATAATCTTGCGGTGGTACGAAAGATTAAGCGCAGCAAGGAATACTGAATACAATGTGCCACTCATTTGCTACTTTACTGTCAGCTTAGACCACGAATTTTTTTTTACATATCGACTCAAACGCAGTAAATCATTTGTATGCGTACATCTTGAGGTCACATGTACTCATGAAAACTATGTATGCAGTTTTCGATATTTGATGGCCTTCAGGCAAGACGATGCTTTTTAAAATAACTGGCTATCGTCCCTTACTAACCAGATATAAGCTCCAAAATTCTTTACGTTTTGGGGGTGGTCTAATCTCGATTGATTGATGCTAGGTAGATATGTGCATTGCCAAAGGATTTTCAAATTTTTCGACCATGTGATTATTATTATAGGTCATTTATAAAATCGTGACGACGGATTTGACTGCGGTCTTCGCGCCCATAAGAGCATAAAACGTCAAACAGAAAGGCATTACCTCAACGCTCAGCTTAGTCACTTCTAGTGTCTTATTGCTATCACACGTAAGCGGAAAACCATTCGAGTAGAGATGAAGGCCAAGATAATGCTGTTGCCAGAATCGCGTGCGTGTCGCGTGCGGGGCGCCGTCGTCACGATTTTTCGAATGGCCTATAGGTCATAACAGAATTAATGCAGGTTTCTCGTATTTCAAATTTTTTGAATATAACTTTTTACTCAAACAGTCTTTTCAAGTGCAATAAAAAGTTTCGCATTTAACAACCATTAGCAATTCAGCTGCACCATTGTGCTGTTGTAGCTCCACCAAACAAAATCTTACAGAGTAAATACTTCTCAGATGTTTAGGAAAACCTTTACATTAGACAAAAAACCATAAACTGTGAAATGTAAATAATAGGATAGCGCAAATTTTACCCATTGTACGACTTATTGTCGCCTGTTGCTCACAAAAAAATTTCGAAGTTTTTTCCAACCCTTCGAAGAAGTGGAAAATTGTATTTTTTTCGAATTTTAAAGTTTTCTCAAAGCTGAATAAGAAAAACAACTTCGGTTTTGTTGCAGATGTAAGTCTGTTCTTCCTGTGCGCAACGAAGCTTTCCAATTGCTTTGCGCTCAAGATTTTTATATAGGACAGAAGGACGGCATCGACCGTGCAAGTCTGCTTCGAAATTTCTCAGTTCGAAAAATCATGGAAGTCATAATTTATTATGCATTCTGTAGCACAGCTCACTCACAAACGCTATGCTGACTTGCGAAATTCCGTTTTGCGGTGAATTCACAGCAAAGAGTGTCAAAAGAAGAATTTCAAAGATTTGGTCTCTTTATTTCAGATGCACGAATTTTCTATTGAACTCATTCCCGTTCTAATCCAAAGGATGCTAACGAATCTAGAAGTAAAGACCTTCAGATGATATATAAAAACCTTTGAGGAAGAGGTGATATGTTCTGAACCTGCACTTTTAAAAAAGGTGTGAAAACCTGCATTGAATCCTTTAGAACCTAATACATGCCTAAGAGGATGCGTATGTAGCGCAGAAGGCCTGTAAATAATTTTCTAAAGATTATTTCTCATGTTAGAGGCGGCAGAACTATAAGGTTGGCTTTTGATTTTGATTCCACCCACATTGTATTCCATAACCAATAAACGAAAGTTGTAGGTCTTAGTTTAGAAAAGCGACGCTGCTTGAAAAATACAATAAAAACTCAAACTCCTTACGTAGAAAATCTCACGAGGCTCTGGGTAAAAACCGGCTAAAAAACTTTATTTCCATAATGACTAGTATATCCGTCCAAAGGAACTTGAGTAAGCAAATATTTGCTTCGCTTGCTATATATAGCAGCATTTTACCAGTATCTGCTCTGCTTTTAGAAAGCTAATTAAGAAGAAGGACGTTCTTGGCGAAAAATGTCATGTAAATGATGCCGGCCCCATCCGTCTGGTCTGCCTGCTTGTCTTACTATTCAAGCTTTCTGAAATGAGAAAAGTGGTTGCCAGAAGCTTGTGTGAAGAAGCTTTCAGCAACTAGTTTTTAAATTTCCTTTCTAATCGCATGAAATATCGATTCTAGAATGGAATGACAAAATTTGTGTCTAGAATTCAAAAATCGATGACTTTTTTCTAAATTTCACACGATAATTTCAAGACATTAGCATGACTAACCAGAGTTTGGCTTCTAATTTTTTCATTTTTTTTCATTTTCAAGAAAAACTACATCAGTGTCCATTATGAATGTTGCCATTTTCTATGTTGCTTATAGAATTCGTAGTAAATCTCTCCTCCATCTATGCAATCTTAACCGAATTTTTTTTCCAAAAGCCACTTTGTTATTGTTCTTTCACGTGCTATCTTTTTCTTTCAGAGTAAATATGGTTTATTTCTACACGATAAGTGTAATCATTGTCGTTTTCTATGGAATTGGCCTCTTTGGAAATTTCAATGTAATTTGGGCTACGTATAGACATAAACATCTTCGCAACAAGCACGGTAAAAATTATGTTATTGATATATTTGGTAGCCGAAAAAATAGTAATTTAGGGTTATTACTGGCAAATCTGGCAGTATATCATATCATATGTATTTCTAATCAGTTTGTCAATATGAAATACAGGCAAATTTTTCTTCTTTTGTTTCTATTAACCTCATTCCATTCTAAATTATTTTCAGTTATTCTCATCAATTACCTCGGCAAAACGAATGTTTCAAATGGATTCTACCTTACGTATTTGCTATCTGTGCTCAAGCGATGATGTACGTGGTCATTGGCGGAGATCTTCTTGCCGCAATTCTTGTCCCACTCAAGTAAAGCTTTTTTATCAGAAACCTGATAAACTTCGAAATCAAATCTAATTATTGATTGCAGGCATCGTATTATCCGCCCTCTTCCATACGTTTTGATAGTCTCGGTGCCAGTATGGTTATATTCGACTACTGTAACGGTATGAACACATTTACACACTTATCCCACAAATTAATAAGTATCGCCTACAAGAAAGCTTTGCTTCTCGAAATTTTGTGCGCGATTTTTTCTTTGTTTTTTCTTTCGCGAAGCTGTTGTTACCCTAATTTCAAGCGTACAAGGCGCGGGGGATTTTTTTTCCAAACGACCAGCCCAAATACGCCAAAGAACTTCGCAACCAAAGGACCCTATGTCTTGCTGTATATTGCTTGAGAGAATGGTCCGGCATAAGGATCGCTTCCCGAAACAATTTAAAGCGGCTGAGGGGCTTAGTCGAAAAATCGAAAAAGGTGCGCCTTGTACGCGTGAAATTAGGGTAATATCATTTATTACTTTTGTTTCATATTCCTTTTTCACTTTTTCTCAGTGAATTAGATTACCATAAGCCTCCCTCATGCACCTCGTGAATGAAATTCGATACTTAAGTCAATCACAATTTGAGCTCGATAACCAGCAATGTTTTCGTAAATCCCAACTGTTTTTGTAGCTAATTCATGCAGGCTTTCCCCTCTAATTTCAAATCCTTCCTCTTGAAATTTCTCTAGCCTTTTGCCGATTTCATCAAATAGCCTAGTCACAATTAAGCTTCGTTCTCGCAATGTAATGCTTCAATAGCATTTTAAAGTCACGTGTACGCATCAGAGACTCTTCTACATAATTAATTTTCCTTCTCTTCCATCGCTCTGATTCAACACTTTTTCTCAGAAATTGTCACAAATTGATTTTGGCTCCATCTAACGTTTGACACAGCTAGTTCAAAGCCCGACGCGGTCAAACAAGAAATATTTCCCAAAATTTAGGGGAACTGAAGTTGAAGACGAAAATGAAGGGGGTTGTGGAGAGTAAATTTAATGAGCGCGTAGACTCCAAACCCGCTGAATATTGAATAGTAAGTATTGATAAGATGGGTTCTTTACGCCTGTTTCGCCTCTACCCCTATACAGGTTACTATAGAGTGAACCACTCCCGAGGCTCGTTAGTAGAGAAGAGTGGTGTACTGAGAAGGATAGGTCTAGGGGGTATTTACACATGAGGGGTAGAGCAATTAGATCAAAAATTCAGCTATGTTGCAATTTTGTGAGCATTTTAATAACAAAGGTTTTAGTGTTTTTGAACGATTGTAGATGCAAATACTTTGATATGCATTTATTTTTTCTCAAGCATTTGATCATGGCGTTAGAAATGATGTTGGGAGTGTATTGTAAAGCTAAAAGTTGATCTATAAGTAATTCTAGTCTTTCAACGAAGTTTTCAAATTTTGTACAAGTCCTATAAATTCTCAAAATTTCACTGTAAATGATTGCAATTTTGACATTCAGATCTTGAATGAGTAAGTTAGAAGTTAGAAGTTTTCGCCTTAGTCGAGTTCTTGTTCTACCGCTTGCAAACATCCCACAGAATTAAGCGAAGATCTTTCTCTCATCAGCAAAAGGGTGCATTTTTGAGTAGTTTTTTATCAGACCAATTTTCTATAAAACCAGCCGTGACATAATCCAGTCAATCCTCTTTTTGTATGATTGAAGGAAAGTGTGGCAAGGGTAAGCGCTAGAATTTTCAATAATTTTTTTCTTCAAAATCTGCTTCAAGGCAAAGCTGAGCAATCGTGACAAAATAGAGAAAAGCTGGTTACATTACGAGCGAGATTTTCTGAAGGGGTTAGGTATCTTATTATGTGTTTCTGCAAATGAGAGCGGACGTTGTTGGAAAAGGCAACAAACTTGCAGGAGAAGGAGAGGAGTTCTTTAAAGCGTTCGCGAACAAAAGCTTAAAAGCAGTGTCCGGGCAAAATCTCGCCTCGCATGTTTCTGCCATTCTGGGGCCTTTCCGTGGCCCTGATTCCAGCTGTAAAGTCGAAATTGTTTTGGGGGACCCTCTCTTAAAAAGGTGGACGAGTTTCGAATTGCTCGTCCCCATCGTCATGCCAGCGGGAGGAGCTGCAACTGCACGGATGCAGTTGCATTGTAGTGTGCAGTGCAACTGTAATGCAACTGCAATGCAACCGCACCCTGCGTGAGCACTCGTCCTCAAGGGTGGTTTGTGATACGAAGGGGCGGCTTGTGATACGTATCACAGGCCCGTAACTCCTTTTAGAGGGCACGCCAAAGGATTGTGGACGCTGCCTTTAAAGGCACCGTCCACCCTAAGTTGAAGGTGTTGAGCTTTTGGCAGCACATAATAGTAGGGCCTCCTATTAATCCAATGTTCGATCGCGGCGCAAAATGCCGCTTCGGAAGCGAGAAAATCGCTTTGGAATAGCGAAGATGCACGAGGACCCCCATCCATGCCCGCCCATTTGTGCGCACCCATCCAATCGCCGCTCCGGAAAGCCGGCCTGTGGGTTCTGCGGAATGGAGATTGCCGGGGTTTTCGCGCATTCTCGACTTCATAATCGGAATCAGGGACATGAGAAGGCCCTGAAACGACAAAAACGTGGAAGTCGAAAATCTGGGTGGACGGTGCCTTTAAGGATCAAGAACTCAACCTAATACTGGCTCTGATATCGGCTGCATTTTTCTGCAAGCAAAAGCAAGGCAGCACGATGTAAAAAAAATAACAATGTAATAGGTTGTCTAAAAATATTTCGTATCATCTTATCTCATCATCATCAACATCGCGGATGTCTGAGCATCAAGAACAAGTGAGTGGGGTACTATTTGTTAGGGGAGCATGCTCTATAAGGTTTAGTTCAGAAGATCGCACCTAGTTTGATTTGTTTAAAGGTTCGAGCCACCGAAAAAAATGTATCACCGTGCAAATAAAAATCCAGTGTAAGCCCAACCTGCTCACGATTACACTCTTTGCATCGAATGCTCTAATGTACAGTTTCGCAACTTCGAGAGAACAGAATTTTCTTGCTTTGCCAAAGCAGTTTTGAACTCTTTCCAAGTAGTTGACTTTATAGTATAGGCTGCTGCATGAAAAAGACGCAATATCTTTAGGTGTGAACGAGGTTTCATTAGCCGCAGAGCGCATGAGGAGTAGGATTTACAACGGTAAAGGTACGCGCGCGCAGCGTTTGCGCCCGCTCAACTAATACTACTTCTGCGCCTTGCAACAGCCCTTATATTTGGAAATATAGACATGCATTCTCAGCTTTCTGTAAGCTTAGTTTTCGTGAAAAGCCTAACCCGAAATACGAGATATGTCCATACTTTTGACCTATTTCTGTTTAACGTCTTCTCGCCATAGAAGAACTTCAAACCCGTACACGTAAATTCTAATATGAAGGCGGCGTACCTGAGCAAAGTGGAGGTTCGCAGATTTTTGAACAGAACTCCTACTTTCGGGTACCGAATTTTCGCCCTTATTGAAACGCAGAATATTGCTTGAAGGCAGTGTGCAGGCTAAATCTAACCCTCCGTTTCGTGCCGATGGGAATTTGCGTAGGTCCGGTCCTCTAATGCTGTCTCTGAATGGAAATAATGGACCTAGAATAGCGAAAGTGCTATTCAAGCCACGCCCAAATCTTATCAAGCTCCGCCCAACCAGGTAGTGACTACGTAAATTAGGTAGAGAAAGCCATCTGGTTCATCAGAATAGGGATCCCAAAGTCGGATTTTTGCGTTTGCACATATTGAACTTCATAATTATATTAGGGCCACTGAAAGGCCCCAGAACGACAAAAACATGAAAAACATAATTCTTTGTCGACGCTGCCTTCAAGTATTTAGCATCTAATGAGAAGTGACACTACCGCTTCACAATGTAACTGCTTAGTTTCTTGACACGGGCTTACGGCATCCTTCAGCTTTGTTTTGAAGCGGTGCTCTGATATTACGAAGAAATTAAACAAAGTACAAATATTAGGTTGTTGCAAAAGTTCTGTCGTTTCATTTTTGAAAAATCGTAACTTTGCGCTTTCACAACGGATTTACTTCCTTTTATTTTTATTAGGAAGGGCAAAGCTTTCGCTTTCGAATGCTATTATATTTTGCTGAGCATGCGCTTCACACTGGGTGCGGCGATAAAAATGGAAAACTAAGACCATCTAAGCTTTGACCATTTTAAGTTAGGTCACCAAAAATCGGGAACGCTGCAGAAAAATCTAAAATCGTCGGTACATATGTTTTTTGGCATACCCTTTGCATACGCGAAAAGTTTGTGCTGTTTGGACGTCTCTGTGAGAAGTTATGAATATCGAGTTTACTATGGAAAACGCCAAAATCAATCAATTTGTCAATTTTCGCGAAAATCATAACTTCTCACAAAGACGTCCAAACAGCACAAACTTTTCATAAATGCAAAGGGTATGCCAAAAAACATATGTACTGACGATTTCAGATTTTTCTGCAGCGTTCCCGATTTTTGGTGGCCTAACATAAAATGGTCAAAGCTTATATGGTCTTAGTTCTCCATTTTTCTCGCTGCACCCAGTGTGAAGCGCAAGCTCAGCAAAATACCATTCGAAAGCGAAAGCTTTGCTTTTTCTAATAAAAATAAAAGGAAGTAAATCCGTTGTGACAGTGCAAAGTTACGATTTTTTGAAAATGAAACGACAGAACTTTTGCAACAACCTAATAAATGGGGGAAAATTTCCCCCACTCTCACTCCCCTCGTCCATCTCCACCTTGCATGTGAAAAAGACAATCCTGCAGTAGCAGAAGTAATAAACAACTAGTTTGTCAAGCAGAATTTTCTTTGCAACAGAACACCACCACACTTTCTTCCAAGGCTTTCTTGGATCCTAAGCTGTTTATTGCTACCCCCCCCTTTTCTGGAGAAGTTTTCTGTGGAGACACTGATACGTACCAAAGCTGTTACAGGTTTGGGGAGCATTCTCAGTCGAAGAGAGGACCATAATGTTTTGCAATCCTACACTGGCCTTGAGCGGGACAGTGAATCGGTTTTGGCTTTACTCAAACCTTGCAATAATTGCGGTTGTCATAATTTTTCACCTTATGGCTAGGATGATTCTCGTAAATAGAAGTTAGTTTTCCCGCTTCTCAGTTGAAATCCACCTCATTCAAATTACTTTTAGTTGCCGCTCATCGTCGGTCGTCTTCCATGTCGAAAGAATCAGGTTTGTAATTCCCTTTACTGCTCGCGCAACCTTAATTCTGAGAAAATTGTCCTTCTTAGAGAGAAATGGGATCCTTCGACGTAGCGTTTACAAAGACCAGCAGAAGGTAAATTCAAACTGACTTCTCGAACTTTCTTCTCAACCTCAACTCTAGGCGTTGCACTCAATCTCAATACAGTTAGTTTTATTCTTGTGGGCATGGTGTACGGCCATAGTTGCCATTGAATTTTTGGATGACATATTGTACAAATACCTCCCCAATCACGAAATACGTGATATCCTACAAAGTTACATGGTGAGTAACCTTTTGAACATTTCCACACAGAAATAACACAGAAGTTGCTTCAGGTGTTTTTCGCTCTCCTTTGTTATAGCCAATCATATTACATACTTTTTTGGAGGTCTCCGGAGTATGCAGCTGCATTCAAGGTAATGTTTGAGATCTGTTTTGTTCAAATCTGTATTTACTGCGATGCCGCGGAAGAGAGGCACTAGATTTGCATTTTTGCGCTCTTAGGAAAAATAGCTACAAGAATTTCATTTTTTATTTTTATTACCAGCCATTTGCACCTTCTCAAAAAAGCTACTATGCATATAAAAGATGACCCCACACGTTCCCCGCTTACGGTTCTTGAGTGACTTACCATTTCATGAATTCATTGAACCGATATAAAAATCATGGAATACCTCAATATTTTTCATTCCTGACAATCAGACTGTTCCATTCAGTAGAGGACATTTGTATACACAACCTATGGTCTTTGTTCTGAAGTAACCTGATGCTTTTCAAGGTCATCAAAGCGATGTTGAAAAAAACGCAAAAAAACTTTTGCTGAAATCTTCTCTCATGGTACCCAGAGACTCTTTAAGTTATTGACAGAGTCTTCAAGGAAGCTTTTTGAGCTTTTTCTTTCTAACTAGCGAACACAAGGGCCCCTTACAAGATGGTCAAGGCAAATTCATTTGGATGTCACTCAACATTACAAGCTTTTAAGTAATAAAAGTAGCCTACAGTCTTATAAGAATAAAAAGTACTGCCCTACAACTACCCTACGAACCCTACTTTATGGGGAAAAGTGACTCAAAAGCCGAATTGATGTTATAGAAAAGGACTGCCTTGTGGGCCGTTTACAGAATGTTCTGAGAACACTATCCTACGAATCTCCTCCACCCGATGTTTACAAGAAATGACAACCCTTTAAATCGCTCATAGAACGGTCTGAACAAAGCCTGATCTGCCCTACTCCGTTCTCTCCTCCCTCCTCTCCTCCTCCCTTCCAAGCGTTGTTCAAAAAAACTCCTTACAGGCCGCTCACATTTATAATTTGAAGGAAGCAATGCCCCGTGGTCCGCTTACAGACTGGCAATTATAAACAAGAACTGGTGTATAAACCTCCGAATCCAATATTTTGAGAGAAGCTGCCCTACGGGGCCGCATACACCATTCTCTATTGAGATTATAATTGTCCCGTGCCACTTATAAACTTAATTTGCGATGGTAACTACCCTACGAGTCTTTGCCAATCAGTCAAAAAGAGGGTCCTACGCCTACAGACCGATATTTTGAGGAAAATACTGCCCTATGGGCCGCACTGTCCTACGAGCCCCTACAATCCGATATTTTGAGAAAAAATGACCCTAAGGGCAGCCTAAAATAGTTATTTATGAAGTAGAACAAACATGGACCGCTCACAGACCGACAGAAGAAAAACTGCGCTGCGACTTTCTCCTCCCCCCCCCCCCTCCCCACAACAGCCAAATGTTTCAAAGTTGCCAGCAAATCCCTCTACTATCCACTGCGGATCGGGTATACCTTATGGATAGTATCGTCATTATTTGAGTGAATCCTTCTAAGTAAAGATCAATAAATGATCTCGTAAATTACTCACGAGCAACTTATGGATAATTTGTCCTTTGTTCTCCTCTTTCTCCTGATACTCCTCTTTTGCACACTATCTTTCTCAACTCACAGCCATCTACCCTCGACTAAGTGGCATTGAGTTGAACTGTTCTGACTGTTCAACCAAGTGTATTTGAGCACAAGAAGGAAGATAGTCTTAAGTTCACCCTAGGAAGTTTTTCATCTCAGATAAACTGAGATGAATGGGGGTTTACTTCAGGCCGATGATTAAGAGATAAGCTGCACATACACGGATGAAGACTTGTTATTTTTTCGACTGGCTTTTCCATGATTAGTTTCTATTGAATGCCATTTGGTTGTTTCGCGGGCGAAAAGTGCGAAATCGCTGAAAGCCCTAAGCAGTCAGTGATTCTTAAGGTTTTCATCATGTTCGCTACCTCAACGTTCGCATCCAGGGATCCCCCTTTTACCGCCGCATGCATTAACGCTCCCGCTGGGGAGGGGATCGATCGCAACTTAGGCCCGAATGCACTAACATCCCTGCGGCGAGGGGAGCGACGTCCCCAATGATGTAAAAGTCGTAGCGGCGTCCGCACGCGACCCCTTCATAATGGGGGATGCCGCTCCCCTCGCCGCAGGGATGTTAGTGCATACGGCCCTTAGGGTCGCATGCACTAACATCCCCGCGGGGAGGGGATCGCAGCTTGAAAGAAAGCTTGATATTTCGAAACTCCAGATACCTGGATTTCACGTTGTGCACCTATCCGTAAGTATTCCTACTCCCTTCACTACGAACATGTTGAAGAGGAGCGAGAAGCTGTACGAACCGCATTTCCAGCTTTAGTATGACCCCTGATGATCCCCGGCGCTTTTCTTTGAAGCCATTTTTCTTTCTCCGAAGTCAACGAAAAACCTCCAAAGTTGTGCAGATTATCTAACCCGACAGTGCTAAGCATGTTGCTGATAAGAACAAATGATGTTTTGAAGTCATGAAATTTTCGATGATCCATAGGTCGAAATTTGAGGTTTACCAACGAAATTTGAGGTTTACCAAAGAATTCGACTTTTCAAAAACTCATTTGTTCTCATCAGCAACATGCTTAGCACTGTTGTATTAAATGTTCAGTACAACTTTGGAAGGTTTTCGTTAGCTTCGGGGAAAGAAAAATGACTTCAAAGAAAAGCGCCGGGGATCATCAGGGACCATACAAAAGCTGGAAAATGCGGTTCCTACAGCTTTTCGCTCCTGCTCAACATGTTCACAGTAATGGGTAGTAGGAATACTTACGGATAGGTACACAACGGGAAATCCAGGTATCTGGAGTTTCGAAATATAAAGCTTTCTTTTAAGCCGCGATCCCCTGCCCAACGGGGAGGTTAGTGCATGCGGCCCTTAGAACAAAGCTTCAATCAGAAGCTGCACAGTTCTGCATTTTGTATCGTTTATCCGTTCTTTGGAGTTTCTACTAGCTTTTACTCTGGACATACTGAACGGGATGAACGGGAACAAGAATTGTAGAAGCTGCTTCTCAAGCACTTTGTATGATCCCTGATAATCCGCGGCGGCCAGCCGCCTTTCCTTCAAAGTCGTTTTTCTTTCTTTAAAGTCAATGAAAACATCTCAAGGTTGTACACATTGCCCCATTGTGCTGAGCATAATTCTAATAAGAAGAAATGAACCACCATATCAAAATCATAGACGAACCCCAATTTTCGACGGTAGTTCATCGAGTTTTTCATCACTTCAATACACGTTTGTTTCTTGTCGAAAACATTCTTAAAACGTTGGGCCAGGTATTGGTACGATTCTGAGGTATATTCACAACTGTAGGAAAATGCGACCGGCCGCAGGGAATCATTAAAGTATCATACAAAAGGTTGAAAAATGCTGCTTACCCTCCTTCTCGCTCCCGTTAATTATGTTTGTAGTAAAGGATAGTAGAAACACTTGGAAATAGATAGACGGAAAATCAAAAACTTTGCAGCTTTAAAATATGAAGCTTTTTTCTAGGCTGCGATCTCCTCCCCAGCGGGGATTGCATGCGGCTCTCAAAAAGATCTTAGCCGGTTCCGACCAAAAGCGATCCCGCGTCTGCTCTAATAAGCAAGCAGAGGAGAACGGAGTTCCTGCCTCTATCAAAAGCTTGCATACCTATTTCCTGGGTAGGTGTGGGAATCGCGGGCTCGGAGACGCGTCTAATAACTAAGCTCCAATCGTTCTCGAAGGAGACTTTGAGCTCAACAGGCTACTCTTGCGATAGTTCAAACGCTAGATATAATGGAAAGCTGCCCTGAACACGGAAAAGCCCTCGTTAGGCAACACCAGAGGTCAGGTTTGAGGACGATCTAGGATGCCAAAAACAATAGGAACAACGATGACAATCTGACTTACAACCATGGACGGTCGATGGACGCATCTATCGAAGATCTCAAATGCAAGCAAGGAAGCCCAAGTACGACGTGATCGAAATGACCGAGACAAGAAGACACCAACCGTTGCATGCTCGAGACTGAAGAAGAGTTTGGCCGTGACGAATTCTTCGAACAACTAACAAACCGAATCGGACCTTTACGAACATTATGATGTGGACCAATCCCGACCTTGGGAGTTTTTCAGCGCGTATGCCCCAACATCAAGTTATGATGAGGACGAGCTCGAGGCTTTCTATATGGACTTGGAGAGGTTCTACAGAAGGCAACACCTTCTATAGTATCATCGTCGGTGTGATTCCAACGCAAAGATCGAAGCCAGTAGATTACCTGTAGAACTTCACATCGAGACCCTGGACCAGATTGTCCAATTTTATGTTGAAACTACACATGGAAACTTGCAGTTAAAAGAACCCTTTTCTGACGTTAGACCTGGAAATCGCCAGAGGAAAGTGCTACAATGAGATTGTCGTATTGCCTGACGGACGTCTCTGTCTTCAAACTTCTTTACGGAATCAGACCATCGCCTCTTACGTGCCAAGTTCTATTTCCATGGAATAGAGAAAGAAAGACATCAAGTTTGGAAAGCATCGTCCCACGACTACCATCAACTGAGAAGTGTTTTCTTCGCTCTCAGACTTTTGGCAAGGTACCGTGGTCGACAACATCGACGAGGAATAGAAAGGATTTATCTAGCCTCTTTACAACTGCGTTAAGGAAACCAGTCCAAGGAGTGCGGGAAACGACTCTCATCGGAGACTCTAAACCATGATACCCCAGCTTGGACGAGCACGAGCACAAGCAGTTGCCCACTGCGTCCGAGCTTGCGAAGCGATGCAAAGACGCCATAAGAGGAGATCTTGAGAAGTGAAAAGTAGCAGTAAGCGTTGTCGGCGCGGAGGGCGGAAGAAGTATATGCAACGGGCGCCGAAGCTTTGTCAACACAAAAAACAATATGAGCGCACTTCGCCGCTCTTTCGAACCATGACTGACTTCTGGAGGTTAGTGGAGGAATGTTGTCCACGACTTATAACTATCTCTTCGACAGTCATATCCACTCGACATTAAGAGAAGACTTGAAGGCAGAGGATCGGCAAACTGAACCCTTCGGGATTCTGATGCAGTCCGTTGCTTACTC